ACCAGGATCTTGAAATGAACCCTGAAGTTGACTGGCAGCCAGTGAAGCTGGAGGAGAAGCGGGGTGATGTGGGTGTGTTTGGAGGACTTGGTCAGAAGCCGAGCACAGGCGTTCTGAACCACCTGTAGACGGTTCAGGGAGGTTCTGCTCAGACACGTGAAAAGAGAGTTACAGTAGTCTAAGCGTGAGGAGATGAAGGTGTGGAGAACTGTCTCAAGTTCAGAGTGGGACAGAATGGGACTCAGCTTAGCAATGTTCCTGAGATGGAAGAAGGAAGAGCGAACAAGAGAACTGACATGAGAATCCAGGGTGAGAGCTGGGTCAAAGGTCACGCCAAGATTCCTGACGGAAGTTTTGGTGTGAGAAGCAAGCTGACCAAGAGAGTCTTTGACTTTGGGAACCAGCTTGTCTGGGGCACAGATGAGGATCTCAGTCTTATCTTCATTCAGCTGAAGAATGGAAACGACTGCTAAATGCACCGTTTTCATTTACAGAGAGGCGGTGACACAGCAATGGATTCAGATTCATTGTAGAAAAAGATCTTCCTATTGGTGTCGATGTTAGAAGAAGAAGAAAAAGCATCTTTAATTTAGCGCCTCCGATGATAAAACTCACCAGGTGCTTCACAAGAACAAAATATAATGAAAAATGGGGGAAATAGAAATGTTTAGACTGAAAACTGTGAAGAAAAAATGAAAAGAAAAAGGTAAACACTCATGGGGCTTAAAGGAGATGTAACAATAATCACTTGAATGTAAGAGGGGTTTCCGTGGAAACCTCATGATCAGATCGTTTCTTGGCTGCTATAGATGGTTGTTTGAATGACCTCAGCTAGTAGAAATAGATCTATTCTCTTCAGATTGACAAGTAGCCGAAACAGATTCTTGATGTCACAAATATCTCATGACAGTTTCAGCTATGTAAATATTATTAATGGTTCTTGCGTTAACATCTCTGCATTACACCATGTCCTGTCAGATTGTGTCAAAATGAGTCTTTACATGCATTTACCGTAATTTCCGGACTATAGAGCGCACCTCAATATAAGCCGCACCAACAACAAAAAAAAAGGTTTTCCACACACACACGCCGCACTCAAATACAAGCCGCGGCACAGCAGCCACATGCAGGTCTCCGGCGCACAGCGCATGTACGGCCATAGCATAAGATAATTAGACAGAAAGACGCTACACGGAGGTTTTTCGTTGTTGTTTTAATTCAACAAAACAAATTTTAAACACGGGTGAACGTGCCTGCAAGTTTAGAAAAGTAAACAGCACTGATAGCTTTCATATTTCTGGATGGTTATAAAATAAAAACAGAACTGACACGTTATTGCCGGTCATTTGCATGTTTAGAAAAGAACAGCGCTGACAAGGCATTAATAAGCCCTGGATGATTAGAAAATGAAAACTGCACACAAAACATGCCTGGTTAATAAATAAAACACACTTGTCTACCAGAAGAAGTCATTCACTCTCATCTTCCTCTTGTGCACTAAAGCCATTAAAGTCCTCTTCTTCAGTGTCGGAGTTGAACAGCCTCAGAAGAGCTTCGTCACATACCGTTTCTGTGTCGCTGTCCGTGTTGCTGTCATCATCCCCGGGTGAAGCTGGCTTGAATGAGTTCTTCCCGCTGCCGTCTCCAGCGCCGAACCATGGATTCATTCATGCCAAGCTTACGTGCGGCAGCACTGTTTCCCTCCTTTACTGCCAGATCCATGGCCTTCAACTTAAATGCGGCATCATATGAACTCATACGTGTAGTTACCATGATGAGAGAGTATGGATCGTGCCGGCTGCTTGCATGTGCTAAATTAAAATGAGCACTTTCTTCGATTTACACTTTTGACTTCCACCTGTTTCACTTTCTGCTAAAGCGCCCCCTAGTGGCAGGTGAAGGAAAATCTTCAGTAAAGCCGCACCTCATTATTAGCCACGCGGTTCAAAGCGTGGGAAAAAATAGCGGCTTATAGCCCGGAAAGTACGGTAAATGTGCAGGTGAATCCATGCAGGGCTGCTCAGTTGGTAATGCTGTTGCCTCACAGCAAAAAGGTTGCAGGTTCTAATCCAGGCTGTAGCTATTCTGCATAGATTTAGCTTGTTCTTCCCATGCATGAGTGGGTTTTCTTTGGGCACTCTGGCTTCCTCCTCAGAACCAAGCTTGTCAGGTTAGTTGGAGATCCTAAATGTGTCCCTCGGTGTGAGTGAGTGTGTGAATCAGTGCCTGTGTGTGCCTAGGATAGACTAAACACATGTCCAGGGTGTCCCCCACCTCTCACCGATGACTCCTGGAATTTTCACTAGACAAAATGAAGCATTGCTGCACATCCCTGGATGATGTTTTGGTTATGATGTTTTAGCAGTTGAGCGTGGGAGGGGAATCCAGCAAATACATTTCTCACTCATTGCCTGTGGCACACAACCAATTAGAGGACTCTGGGTTTTTAATGAACTGGCTGCCTAGAAACTCCTTTGTTTAAACACAGAACATGAAAAATTACCTTTCCATAAAAGCCCCGAATGATAAGCCTGGATGATTTATAATAAAACTATTTCTGGTGGTTAATGATGTGCTACGCTGCAGTGAGGCACATTAAAGCTTGGTCATTTGGAAAATGAATGACTGTCCATACTAGCGCATTTTGCTGGTAAACTCTGACAGCTAATAGCAATAAAGAATGTCTTTTTGTGCAGTGTACCCACTGCATGTCGCTCCATGTGAAATCATTCTCTTTTTTATATCCAGGCAGCTAAACGGTGTGTCACTTTGACCTGGTTCTAGCCCGTGACGCTCTCCCTTCCATTTCTATTAACCCATTTCAGAAATAAAAGGTGAGGCTGCTCAACCTTCCCCATAGATTGCAATGATCAGAGCTTCGGAAAACAAGAGATCTGGGTTGTGGTGACCTGACATGGAGTACATACACACAAGCACTGAGAGCAGGCATGCTGTGATTGTTTGGATCATTTATTTTCTATTTAAAGGTTGGATATTGATATTTTATCAGTTTCATCCTGTCAGCCTGTGGTTAGAGTCTCGTTTGGGTTTAATGTGCACATCATATCAAAACTGTACATCATTGTTTTAAGATTTTGTAGAATTTTGCAGAATCCATCCATCCATTTGGAGTCAGTCATCCATGCCTTCATTACCTCTCGCCTGAACTATGCAAACGCCCTCCTAGATGGTGCTCCGGTCTCTGCCCTGAATTGGCTGCAGGTCGTCCAGAACGCTGCTGCCAGGTTCTTGACAAACACGCACCGACGTAGCAAAGAAACACAGGACAAACAGCATGCATCAGGGTATCCACGGGTCCTTAAAATGTCTTAAAAAGTCTTAAATTTGCTTTTCTAAATGTAAGGCCTTAAAAATCCTTAAAAATGACAAATAATCCTTAAATACAGTTTCCAAAGGTCTTAAATTACCAAAGACCCAATGAATAAGAATTTCTAGTTAGTCTTCAGCATTTTTTGTGTGTGATGTTGCCGTAAGCGGAACCGTACACATTCAGTTGGTTGTGAAAGGGGGCTATTTTTAGATGAGCACATTAGCTGGTTAAGCTAGTGGGAGCTTGCGCCATGGGGAAGTGCAAGTTTAATGGTAACTGGGTGGGTAATCCCACGTTCGTGACGTGGTTAGCACCGGTTCCAGGCAATAGCTGGAAATTATAGCTTAAATTTAATTTAAAAAATAGCTTAAATTTGGTCAAAGTAGCCTTAAAAAAGGTCTTAAAAAGTCTTAAATGTGGCTCCCTTAAACCTGCAGATACCATGATGCATGCACACAATCACACCTTGGGCAATTTAGACAGACCAATCATGTGCTTGGACAGTTGGAGGACGCTGGAGTACCTAGAGAGAACACAAGCATGCAAAGACAACATGCAAACTTCATGCAGAAAGAGCCCAGGCCGGGATTCAAACCCAAGACCTTCTGCGCTAACCACTTCACCACTGTGCAGCCTAAATTTTGCAGAATTTTGCTTTTAAATGTGTTAAAGCAGGGGTGTCAATTATGCGGCCCGCGGGCCGAATGCAGCCCGCAAGAGGGTTAAATCCGGCCCGCGAGATGGTTGTGAAAACTTTATTTTCATACTTTACAATGTAGAGTGAAAATAAACATATCATTGTGAGCAAGTTTTCTCTGTAATGAGTATAAATAAAACAAAGCTGCGCTCAAGGCCCACACAGGAACTTGAATCACATCCTGAAGTTGGCCGCCACTCAGGATGTGACTTCTGGTATTGATGTGCTGGTGAAAGCTAAAAGATGTAAAGTTAAATGACTCAAATATACTTTAAGTGCTGCATGAAACTGATCTTGCCATGTGATCTGTAAGCTCTTTGAATCACTAAGGAATTTATTTTTATTTATTGATTTTTTATTGTTTTCAAATTTTCAAGTACATTTCAGGTGTTGTACTTGTATTACATTGTCCTCAGGCTCCAGCCTTGTTTCATATTGATTGTATTAAAACAAAATAAACAATCTGTTTTTTTTTTATTTACTGGTCCGGCCCACTTGGGACTAGATTTCCCTCAATGTGGCCCCTGAGCTAAAATGAGTTTGACACCCCTGTGTTAAAGAAACCTCCTTCTCTCTGATGCCTCCCCGGTGACCATACAGCAGATAGAACCGAACTGCAGGACTTTGCCTTCTGAGTCGTAAAATAATTAACTCATCATTCCCAAGATGACAACATCATTTGTGTGATAAAACTATCTTTTAACTCTCTCAGCGATAAGTGGGGTGTGACTAATCTGGCTTTTATTGCTATATTTAATCATTGTTATGTTTATCAGTCGATTCTACCTCCTAAAATCAACTTTATTGTTTTTTCAGGTGTGAAGCTAATGCTTCAGTCTAAATCCATTTAGAAGGATTTTGTTTGACTGGTTTTGCACGAGGCCAGAGGTGGTCGGACACGTCCCACTGGGAGGTGTGGCTGATCTGTGAATGATTTGCACATCTCTGTTTAGAGTTTCTCGCCCTTCTCTAGATCTTCACTCCCCTTCCTTCTGTCCCGTTTACTTCTACCGCAGTACCACAGCAATATAACAATAAAGTTATTTTCTTTTATGAACTTGTTTTACAGATGGACTTCTACAACAGCTACATGTTTTATGGTGGAGTTGCGATGGCTCTCGCGGAAGGAAGCAATGGGTTGGACAATCCTGCATTTGATGTGAGTAGAGTTCTTTGTTTGCACATATGACTACATTTTAAATGATTTAATGGTTTAAAATGAATGTTTTTGTAATGTCACATTCATGAGCACATCTCAGAAATGAAACTTTGATTTTGTGAGTAATTGTTGCATTTTTCACTTCATTTAATTTCATTTTAGAGGCAAACAGTTAAAAATGGTCTAATCAGCATCAGTTAGAAGCTGAAAAACAATGATTAATCTTAACTTTTTTGACAAATTAAACTTGATTTGTAAAGGTTAGTCACATAAAACAATTGGAGTAATTGTGTGTAAAACTTTGGAAGTATCACCTCACACATACAAGCCTCTAACTTGCAGAACACAAACAGCAATGAAACATTTTTGGCACCAACTTTTAACGCTCATTTACAATCAGTGGGAAAACAATTTCTGCTTTTTATTGTGTTGGTTTCTTTGAAAGTACACCTTAAAGGTGTGGAACACTGAAAACCCCAGTTTTAAATGATTACTTCTGCTTATAATCAGTCACTCTGACCTTTTCATGCCGGCTGAACATGAAAATAGTCTCCTACACCTATCTCCTGCTTTAGCTTCTGATAGAAAATAGACGGTGAAATTCTAGGATTTGAAAAACCTGACAGATCTACGTAACACTGTCACTTAACGTTCATGAACTCACTCATCTGGACTCACGACGGGGAAGAATGTTGCTGGTTTTGTGTCCAGGAGACAGCAGAGAACGTCTCAGCTAGTAGAAGCTAAATGTTAGCATTAGCAACTCCACCACATGGCAGAACTTTTGCAGGTTTGTTCTATTTGTGGAGATAAAACATCAACGTTGCAGAGCAAACAGTCAGCGGTAGAGTCGTGTTTCTGTTATCCAATCAGAGGCGAGATGTCCAAACATCAGGAAATAAGTCTCCAAATCCTGTTGTGTTAGCTCTCCTCTGATGTGGCTGTCTGCTAGTTCCTGAAACAAGACTATCCTTTGATGACCTGTTATTGTGCCTTAGGGACATTAAAATATGGCTGCAAAACAACCTGCTAGACGTAAACAAACATTAGACAGAAGTAGTTGTTTTTGGAGATCCCAGCTTGCTGCATGATGTGAGGAGTGAGTTTGGGCCACTGGAATCTTTTCGAGTCTCTTATGCAAGAAATTTGGGTTTTGTCCTTGACAGCTGTTTTAAATTTGATAAACAAATTAGTAGTGTTACTCAAAATGTGTGTCAAAGAAAGAGTTCGAGGGAGTTATTCATTTGCTCATCATGTCTAGATTAGGTTACTGCAACTCTCTCTATTATGGTCTTGACAAATCTTCCATCCATCGCCTACAGGTTGCACAGTGTAATGATTTAAATGACATGTTATTTAATAAGCCATAAGACGTAGGATTCCATAGGTAATATGAAATCAACCTTATGGATCTGTTGGGTTACTTTAACCAGAAGACTGGAACTTTTTATTGCAGAGATTAGATAACAGCTTCGTATTCACTGAGAGACAACAGAAGAGAGAGTCAAGTTTAAAAGTTTAAAGATTTATTAAAAACAAATTAAACTAGACTAACTTTAAACACTGAATGTATGGTGTAACTAAGGTGGATGAGACAGTGAATGGAGTGAGTTGTAATGTTGCTCAGAACCAGCAAATCCGAAGAAACGATTAGTTCTGATGGGAACTGAAGGTGATGTCTTCGCTTTAAGCTTTGATTAGGAGATTCAGGCCCTGTCCACACGTAGCCGGGGATCTGCCAAAACGTAGATATTTTTCTACGTTTTGGCCTGTCATCCACACGAAAACTGAGTTTTTTCACACGAAAACAGATCTTTTTAAAAACTCCGGCCAAAGTGAAGATCTGCGTTTTCTCCGTTTTGGGTGTCTGCGTGTGGACAGACAAAACCGGAGTTTTAAGGTCCGCAACGTCACTTTCCGCGACTAAAAATGCTGACATCACGTGTGCGACCTGTGTTTACACTAGCCGGCATCATGGAAGCCCTCAGAGCTGCGCTCTGTCACTACCCGATCCATCAATTGTCCAAGTGCTTTCTGCTTGTTTGTTTTTGCAAGCGGAATTACTTCTCCTTGCGGAAGACCACAGATGAAGGACGAGGTTAAGAACAGGGGAAGTACTGCCGCCTAAAGGTCTGGCATGTCCTTAACAACGTATTTATCCGGGTACGTGTGGACAGAGTTTGTTTTTAAAATGCGGTGAAGTGGATGCAAGTTTTTGGAGGGGCGGATATTCGTTTTTTAAAAAAAAACGGCTATGTGTGGACTAGGCCTTATAATCACATTCAACGCCATTTCGCCGGCCTACCTACCCTTAGCGGAAGTCCCCGTTAGATCAGGAATGTCGAGGTCCAGCTTGACTTTTCTGGAACCGAAGCCGGTAGGAAAAGCAGCGGTTGCCGACCAGACCAGTCTTTGAGATACTTCCGGGTCACGACGGTTTTGTTGGCATCTAGCGAGACCCAAACCTGGGTCGTGATGATTCAGATTTTATTCTGAAAGGAACCGTTGCAGCAGTTGGAACAGCAACAGATTTTATCCAGCTTGTCGTTGGTTCTTTCAGCTGAAGAGGAAAGTTACGGATTGGCCACTCTGACAACTTCTCTAGAAAGCTTTGAACTGGCATTAAAGATGACGTGGGCATAGTTTTATACTTCGGATGTTTTGGTTTATGGTCGAATGAAAAGATGACAGATTTACCAAGCACCACCAAAACCACACTTCCGTCAGATCTGGCAGATTCTGATTGGATCAGTGAAAGTAATGTGTCGTCTCTTAACGCTTCGTGAGATCAGTCCTAGTGGAACAATTAAAGTCATATTACTTTTATATTCAGTAGGATTATAATAAAGTAATTAATTTTTTGATTTCACAGATTGGTAACATCTTATTTTTTGACTAACACTTTGTGTGATTAGCTTATTAAAAATAGAGTTATTTGATTAATTAAAAGAAAAGAGTCCATTCTTCATTCTTCTGTTGAGCTGAAAAGAAGCAGTTTATGAGCAAATGCATGAGACCTTGAAGCCATATCTCTTGCAGACTAGTCCTGTGTCAGAGGAGAGGGGGAAAAAGACTTTTGGTGGAAAACAGTCATTTCATTCTGTTACAACAGAATGCAGCTGCACGTCTGTTGTCAGGGAGGGAATGCAGAGAGCATATTACTCAGGTCCTGTCGACCCTCCACTGGCTCCCTGTAGAATACAGGATAAAATTTTAAATTGTATTATTGTGTTTTAAAACTTTACGTGGTTTGGCACCTTCTTGTTTGGCTGAGCTTCTTATTGTTCACACTCCCTTGAGGGCCTTGAGATCCTCAACTAAACATCTCCTGAGAGTTCCACTGTCAAGGCCAAAGCCATGCTGTGATTGTTTGGATCATTTATTTTCTATTTAAAGGTTGGAATGTTGATATTTCATTCTGTCAGTCTGTGGTTAGAGTCTCATTGCGGTTTAATGTGCAGATCAAATCAAAACTGTACATCAAAGTTTTAGGATTTTGTAGAATTTTGCAGAATCCATCCATCCATTTTACATTTCCACTTGTTCATGTAGGGTTACTGGGGGCCAGGGCCTATCTCCAGCAGTCCAGTACACCCTGGACAGGTTGCCAGTCCATCGCAGGGCAACACAGAGAAACGCAGGACAAACAGCATGCATGCACACAATCACACCTAAGGCAATTTAGGCCCTGTCCACACGTAGCCGGGGATCTGCCAAAATGTAGATATTTTTCTACATTTTGGCCTGTCATCCACACGAAAACGGAGTCTTTTCACACGAAAACAGATCTTTTTAAAAACTCCGGCCAAAGTGAAGATCTGCGTTTTCTCCGTTTTGGGTGTCTGCGTGTGGACAGACAAAACCGGAGTTTTAAGGTCCGCAACGTCACTTTCTGCAACAACAAAATGCTGACATCACGTGTGCGACCTGTGTTTACACTAGCCGACAGCATGGATGCCTTCAGAGCTGCGCTCGCTTTATCAATTGTCCAAGCGCTTTTTGCTTGTTTGTTTCTGCAAGCGGAATTACTGCTCCTTGCGGAAGACCACAGACGAAGGACGAGGTTAAGAACGGGGGAAGTACTGCCGCCTACAGGTCTGGCATGTCCTTAACAACGTATTTATCCGGGTACGTGTGGACAGAGTTTTTTTTTAAAGAGGTGTTGTGGATGCAAGTTTTTGGAGGGGCGGATATTCGTTTAAAAAAAATACCGGCTACGTGTGGACTAGGCCTTAGACAGATCAATCATATGTTTGGACAGTTGGAGGAAGCCGGACCTAGAGAGAACCCACGCATAAATAGAGACAACATGCAAACTTCATGCAGAAAGACCCCTGGCTGAGATTCAAACCTAGGGGAGATAGAGCTTTTTCTCTAGCCACCCCGACACTATGGAATAGCTTACAATTGCAGATTGGGACCGCAAATTCTGTTTGTAGTTTTAAATCTCTTTTAAAGACACACTTTTTATCCTCGCTTTTAGTTGATCTTAACCTTGATTTATATGTATTTTTCCTTTTTTTGTTGCGTTGTTGCTGTTTTTGTTTGATTGTTGTTTGCTGACGTACAGCACTTTGGGCAGTCTTTGTACTGTATTTAAATGTGCTTTATAAATAAACTTGACGTTGGCGTTGACATCTGAGCTTTTTGTCCTCCAGCGTACGTCTTGCAAGGCATTCATTCCTACTAGAAACCACTGCAAGTGTATTCATTAAATGAGTGTCCCACACCTTTAAAATCTAAAAGGTAACATTTCTGCATAGAAAAATCAAATGAATGAATGTAATGGGCATAAAAATAGGTCAATGGGATTTATTTGTGTGCAGCTCCAGGTGAACTTTTTCTGCCTTTTGGAAAATAAACCATTTGTGAAGTAAACTCAGTTGTGAGACAATATCTGAGTCATTATTTGACTGAATTGAAGATGGCTTCTTGTCATCTTGTGACTCCTCACAATTTATTCTTCCTGTTTATTTGTCCATGGCTTTAGTTGAACGTGTTTTTTTATTTTTTATTTATTTAGTTTTTGTCTGACACTGCAGATGGATGAACAAAACAACGATCAACTCAAAACAAAGACGGATAAAAGTTGCAAGGTTCATCGTACGACAGACATGGACAAAAACAAACCAGCTTATTGTGTAACGGACGTCCCTCCTTGGTATCTTTGTATTTTCCTGGCTGTTCAGGTGGGTGTAACTCATGTTCTCTCATATAAAAGTCTTTGAGCGGACTCCAAATTGTTTTACAATAGTGTTTAACTCACTGGGTGATATGGCCCTAGAAGTGGGTCAAGGAAGAAGTTAGAAATAGTTTATTTATTAACATCTATTCGTGTTGGTGAGTGTCCAAGGACATTTGAAGAAATTATTAATGAAAACCAACCAATCTTGTATCAGGACTTTGTTGTTGAGTTGAATTCAGAATCGCTACAAATACTTTTTTTTTTCCACACAAGGTTAAAAAATGCTGAAGAAGCTTATATTTGAACAGCCTTGGTTTGGAGAAGGAGAGATGGGCTGACCAGTTTGGCGTTCTTGTGGAACAATTCTGACATCCAGACAACACATTGAACTGGTCGTGTTGGTTTCTTTCAGCATTACTTGACAGCTTTTAGTGGGATCATCTCCATCCCTCTCATTCTGTCAGAGGGTTTGTGTCTGCAGCACGACAGCCTGACCCAGAGTCTGCTCATCAACAACATCTTCTTTGTCTCTGGTATCTGCACAGTCATGCAGGTCATCTTTGGTGTCAGGTGAGAATTCGATGTGACTAAATCCACTCTGCTTCTTTAATTTGTCTATTAATTGAGAATCTGGTGTCTTGGATGATTCCTTACATTGTAACGAGGATGATCAGCCTGTGCTCTAACTATGAATCAGACCATAATCGGGCCAGAATGATAGACATACACATGTTCTTTTGTTGGGAGTAGGATTAGACTTGATGGTTGATGGTTTCCCACTCATTGGTTTTCATGTCTTTTTCACACATGAAGGCTTCCCATTCTACAAGGTGGCACTTTTGCCTTAGTGACTCCAGCCATGGCCGTGTTGTCCACGCCACAGTGGAAGTGTCCTGCTTGGACCCAGAATGCCACTTTGGTCAACACCTCCTCTCCTGTCTTCATAGAAGAGTGGCAGACTCGTATGAGAGTAGTAAGCCACCCCGAACAAATACTTTTCTTTTTTTGAAGCTCATGATTCATTCTGCAGACTGTCCAGTGACGGCCTTTCTCACAGTTGTTTGTCCCTCTTCAGCTGCAGGGCTCCATCATGGTGGCCTCTGTCCTCCAAATTCTTGTCGGCTTCTCAGGGTTTATTGGCTTCCTCATGCGCTTCATTGGACCTTTAACCATTGCCCCCACTGTCTCGCTCCTTGGTTTATCCTTGTACACCTCAGCTGGAGACAAGGCTGGCAGCCACTGGGGGATTTCTGCTATGTAGGTAACTTTTCTTAAGCAACACGGTTGGACTTAAAGCTCCCAATATTTAACCCTTTTAAAGTGGTCTCAGATTTATTTGTTAACTTGATATTTGCTTGTACACACAGGACCACAGCCCTGATTATCTTGTTCTCTCAGTACCTCCGTCTCAATCCCCTCCCTGTTCCTGCGTACAGCAAAACCAAGAAACTGCACACCTCAAAGTTCTATGTCTTCCAAATAATGCCAGTACGGCATTTTACACACACACACACCATTCAATTCAATTGATTCCATTATGTTTGTAAAAGATCTAAACCATGTTCCATGTCGATTAGATTCTGCTGGGCCTTGCTATCTCGTGGCTAGTGTGCCACCTCCTTACCGTCTTTGATGTCCTTCCGTCTGATCCTGCTCATTATGGTTATCTGGCTCGAACTGATGTGAAGGGAGACGTTGTAAGTGAGGCCTCCTGGTTTCGACTGCCTTATCCTGGTATGTAAGTTTGGAAAAAAGCACACTGGAGAAAAACTGATCAAAGGTGGCTTGATTTTAGCACCCCCTGGTGTCCATTAGTGGAAGTGAAAGTGAAACTCTCCTTGCTGTGCATTCATCTTTTTAACATCTTAATCTAACACCTGAAACGTTTCCTCAGTCTTCATTGGTGTCTACAGCAGTGATTTATCACTAAATCAAACAAATCTGATGTATTAATGATCTAAAACATACAGGAAACATGCTGGAACCACGCTGCAGCACCAGGCATGTCAGCTCCACTTTATTAAGTCCAACAAGGAACAGGTCGCCTATTCTGAAGTTGCAAGTGCGATATTCTGGCCACAGAGGGTGGTGCGGTCTGAGTTACATTTCATTAACACTGTAAAGGGTCATTTTAGCACATACTGGCTGAAGTAAACTATGTAAAAATATGTAAAATTTGCAAAGAATCCCTTTAAACCAGTTTCACTTTTTATTCAGGTCAATGGGGAACTCCAACTGTGAACCTTGCAGCTGTGGTTGGCCTTTTGGCTGGAATAATATGCTCCATGGCAGAATCTGTGGGTGACTACCATGCATGTGCCAGGCTGGCTGGGGCCCCTCCTCCTCCAAAGCACGCCATCAGTCGTGGAATTGGCATTGAAGGGATCGGTTGTTTGTTAGCAGGAGCCTTTGGCACAGGCAATGGCACCACCTCTTTCAGTGAGAACGTGGCAGCTCTAGGTATCACCAAAGTAAGAAATTTGCTCTGTTATTTCATCTTGTGTTGTTATGGAAACATGATTCATTCATTCATTTAGTTTTTAACACTAGGTTATTTGGACATGCTCTTTATGTGGTGACAGGTGGGTAGTCGAGCTGTGATTCTCTTGAGTGGACTTTTCATGATTTTATTGGGGATGTTGGGCAAAATTGGAGCCATCTTCACAACCATCCCCACACCTGTCACTGGAGGGATGTTTCTGATCATGTTTGGAGTCATCGCTGCTGCAGGAATTTCCAATCTGCAGGTAGAAATGTCTTTAAATGTACATTTCAGTCACTGCTCAGAAATGCATGCTTGCTAAGGGATATCGATGATTCAGTTCACAGACATGAACTCTTCTCGGAACATCTTCGTGTTTGGGTTCTCCGTGTTTTCGGCACTTGCCATTCCCGACTGGATCACGAGGAACCCTGAGTTTCTAGAAACAGGTTTGACTAAGACCTACGGTGGGATGTTGCAGTTTTGTCAGTCTAGTTAATCTTCATGAGTTTCCTGTATAAATTGTTGTTAGTTATGATAACATTTTTCAGTTAAATATATCATATAGGAGACACACACAGTGATGTTTGAGAAGTGGAACAAAGTTTACAGGATTTACAGAAAGTGTGCAATAATTGTTTAAAAATTATGCAGGTGCATAAATTTGGGCACCACAAAAAGGAAATGAACTCAATATTTCCTCCTTTTGCAGAAACAACAGCCTTTAAATGCTTCCTATAGCTTCCAGTGAGAGTCTGGATTCTGGTTGAAGGTATTTTGGACCATTCTTCTTTACAAAAATCTCTAGTTCATTCAGGTTTGATGGCTTCTGAGCATGGACAGCTCTCTTTAACTCACACCACTGGTTTTCAACCATATTCTGCTCTGGGGACTGAGATAGCCATTCCAGAACGTTCCACTTGTTCCTCTGCATGAATGCCTTAGTAGATGTTGAGCAGTGTTTAGGGTTGTTATCTTGTTGAAAGATCTAGCCCTGGTGCAGCTTCAGCTTTGTCAATGATTGCTGGACATTGGTCTCCAGAATCTACAGATATTGAAGGGAATCCATGTGTCCCTCAACTTTAACAAGATTCCCAGTCCCTGCACTGGCCACACAGCCCCACAACATGATGCAACCACCACCATGTTTTACTGTATGTAGCAGGTGTTCTTGGAATGCTGTGTTCTTTTTCCTCCGTGCATAACGCCCATTGTCAAAGGGACGTTATGCAAGTTTGACAGCCAAAACATGTATAGAAATAATAAATGTCTTCTTCATTCATTCTCCTGCAACGCCCTGGTCCTGTAGAATGAGCCCTGGCATTTTTACTGTGATTGCCTGTTTTTCTGTAAAATCACAGAAAAAGAGAGATGCTCGGGTCGAGCAGGCTGCTTCATGCGCGTTCACGCTCAGGCATAGCCCGTAGCATTTGCTATCCGTAGCTTTAGCAGCAGAGAGAGAGGCAGTGCCAACTCAGCGACTTTATCGCTGTTCTTAACGCCTAGTGACAAAGCTAGCTACATTTCTGAGGACCCTTAGCTACTTTCTGTAGAACTTTCTTCTAGATATTTCCTGCAAATTAGCAACAAAATAGCCATTTTCGCTCCGAAACGTTCTTTGGTTTGACGTTGTTTCAGCTGTCATCAAGGATATAAAAGTTACAGATACTATAAAAGTTACTAGTGTAGTTCAACTTGTAAGATGTCTGACTCCCATGCAGAAGACCTGGGTTTGATTCTGGATGTGAACATATTTCATTTAGAGTTTCTTTTTTACATTAATGGCATATTTTTTTACAGTAAGATGCCCAAATTTTTATTTGAGACTCGCCGAACGGCATTGAATTCACAGATAAAAAAGATGTGGTTTCAACTTTCATTTTGGAACAATTTTTCAAGCAAGGGAAGGGAATGATCTGAGCATGCAGGAGGACTGACCCATCATAAACCTTTGTCGGCTGTGCTGAAGAGAAAGGTACAGAACCAAATTATTTTGTTAATTAGCTGCGTGTTCTCCTGTCCTCTGTCCTCCGGGCTTCACACACACACACACACACACACACACACACACACACACACACACACACACACACACGGGACTGTCTCAGCTGTTATTTTCGTTAAGGAGTGTGCACTTACAGCATGCGCGCCTCGTGCACGAGCCTACTATTGAAGGTGCTGTTAGGCTTTTGGCCTGAGGGTGCGATCGCGAGCATAAAAATTCAAAAGTCCCTAAAATCCCTTAAAGCCCAAATATCTCTGTTTATTTTCATCAGTCCACAGCATCTTATTCCAACATGGAGCTGGCTTGTCCAGATGTGCTTTAGCATACCTCAGGCAGCTCTGTTTGTGTTGTGGGTGGAGAAAAGGCCTCCTCTGCATCTCTCTCACATACAGCATCTCCTTGTGTAAAGTGCACTGAATAGTTCAACAATGCACAGCGACACCATCTGCAGCAAGATGATGTTGTAGGTCTTTGCTGCTGGCCTGTGAGTTGACCCTTGACTGTTCTCACCATTCTTCTCTTCTGTTTATCTTGGTCTGCCACTTGGAGCCTTAACTTGAACTGTTTATGTGAGCTTCAATTTCCTAAATATGTTCCTAACTGTGGAAACAGACAGCTGAAATCTCTGAGACGGCTTTCTTTATCCTTCCCCTAAAACATGATGGTGAACAATCTTTGTTTTCGTTTGAGAGTTGTTTTGAGACCTCCATGTTGCTGCTCCTCAGAGAATATTCAAAGAGGAGGGAAACTTACAGCCCCTTAAAAACTCTTTCTCATAGCTGGATTCACCTCTCTATGGAGGTCAAGGGTCACTGAGCTTACCAAACCAATTCTGAGTTACAATAATTAGTTCTAAAGGAAAACGACAATAGTGCCCAAATTTATGGGCTGTCTATGTTATGTTTAAACAGTTATTTCACACTTTCTGTAAATCCTATAAACTTAGTTTCACTTCTCAAATATTACTCTGTGTGTGCGCGTGTGTGTGTGTGTGTGTGTGTGTGTGTGTGTGTGTGTGTGTGTGTGTGTGTGTGTGTGTGTGTGTGTGTGTGTGTGTCCTATACCTATACAATATATTTAACTGAAATTTTTATCATAGCAAACAACGATTTATACCAACACATTCTCACTCCCAGCTTGTCAAAAACAAACGCTTGGTCAGCCACCCTCCGCGTCAGACCCCTGATGCCAAAAGTGCCCTTTTTCGTCACTTATGTGCAAAAGGGGGTTTTTCCCTTTTCTAACTGCAGATCCAAATGCAGCGTAACACTGGCATGATGGGATGTCCGCTGATGCGGCACCGAACCAGCTCGTTTAACCGCACCTAAACCTTAACGTTTTGCTATTTATAACCTTCCCTTCACCCTCATCCTAACCGTAACCCTCTTGCTACCTAAAACGTTACTCTCACTGTGGTCAAGCGTTTGTTTCCCATACATTCTGACTGTGAATTTTCGTATTTGCCGCCCAAGGGGAACGTTAGAACATACCATCTGGCGAGGGGGAGGTTACAAATACCCTCTACTTTAACCTCCACCGTGGTAGTTGAAACCTCCCCCTCGCGTTGGCTCGGTCCAAACCCGACCAATGACGAGGCGGCTCCCGCCGTTCACTTCATAGAGCCGGCTTTTAGAGTGACCGACACATCACTAACATGTTCACTAGCAAGATGGTTAAGGTTAGGATAGGGGTGTGGGGAAGGTTAAATAAGAGGACACGGTTAGGGTGAGGTACAATGAGCTTGTTTGGTGCCCTGGCTGCGGACATCCCACTGCGTCAGTGTTACGCTGCATTGGGATCTGCAGTCAGAAAAGGGAAAACCCCCTTTTGCACATAAGTGACGACAAAGGGCACTTTTGGCGTCAGGGGTCTGAGGCGGAGGGTGGCTGACCAAGCGTTTGTTTTTGACGCGCTGGGAAATTGTGAAGATCAACAGGGCTGCCCAAATTTTTACATCCCACTGTAAGACATGGTTTTTGTCTTGACTGATTCCAGTAAAGGTGTTTTCACTAAACCAATGTGATGTTTTACTGTCTTGTCCCTTTTGTGTGGATGACTCAGGTGTCAAAGAGGTGGACCAAGTGTTGCGTGTATTGTTGACCACCCATATGTTTGTAGGAGGGTCCCTTGGCTTCTTCCTTGATAACACAATCCCTGGTAAGCTGACGCAGAGGACTGTTACTGAGTCACGTATTTAATACTGATGACAATATTCTCCCTCAGAGTAAATTAAAATATAAAAATGGGTGTGTTACCATACCTTCTTTGCCCCTGTGACAGGGTATCTGCAGGTTTAAGGGAGACAAATTTCAGACCTTTTAAGACCTTTTTTAAGGCCACTTTGACCAAATTTAAGCTATAATTTCCAGCCATTGCCTGGAACCGGTGCTGACCACGTCGCGAACGTGGGATTAGCCATCCAGTTACCATTAAACTTGCACGTTTCCATGGCGCAAGCTCCCATTAGCTTAGCCAGCTAATGTGCTCATCTAAAAATAGCCCCCTTTCACAACCAACTGAATGTGTACGGTTCCGCTTTCACCAACATCGTACACAAAAAAACAGCTGAACACCAACTAGAAATTCACAAAAATTTTATAATAATAAAATGAACTTGTTTATTGGGTCTGTTACGTCCTCCATTGGTTGATATGGAGAAGGACCGGGAGTAACACAGGCATGTGTTCCAGGTGTGGAAATTGTAAACATTGATTTTATTAAAAGGATTTTAAAATGACAAAAAGCTCCAAATCTAAAAGTACTTAAAACACAGTTAAAATGGCCAAGGGTTTGCGTTTAAAACAGACATCCGAATGCTCCCAGCCATTCACAATCAAAGTCCACTGACTTACACACAAGTTTGGGTCCCTCATCTGTTAAAAACCTCTAAAAGCTCTTAAGCTTCACTAAGCTTAAAGAACTAAAACCCATTTAAAAGCCATTAAAACACAAACAACTGGTGCACATGAGAGAACTGGCACAGATCCAGTCTCTCCCTTCCTCCTGGCAGCTCTCCCTTTTATGCTGCTCAGGAGGTGATCAGCCCAAGTGAGTGCAGCTGTGCAGGTAGGAGGAGGAGGCAGCACTGATTGTACTCTGCAGTGTCCGTTTTCTGAGGTAAACAGCAACAGCTGTAATAGGGCCTTTGGTCATTTAAGACCTTTGGAAACTGCATTTAAGGATTATTTGTCATTTTTAAGGATTTTTAAGGCCTTAAATTTGGAAAAGCATATTTAAGACTTTTTAAGACTTTTTAAGGACCTGCGGATACCCTGCTGTGAGCTGTTTGTCATTATAGAGTGCTTTGACCTCCTCCTGATTAATGGAAAAGCTAAATGATGTCTGTTAAATGAGCTAGTCAGTAAAGAGAAGGTAAAACATTTCAAAATGCAACACATTATGTCTCACAGCCATTTTTATTCAACTTCCAGGGACTAAACAGGAATGCGGACTTCAAGCCTGGGATAAAGCACCTCTTGAAGATTCCCTGTCATCTGAAGAGGTGTACGACCTCCCGTTTGGGATAACTTCCTGCCTCCAAAACCAGTCCTGGGTTGGCTACATCCCTTTTTGCCCATGGAAACGTCCCACGTGTACGCTCAGTCCAGGAGAGCTGCCCCAGAGCCGAGGGAATAAGTGCAGCACACGATTCTAAACCGAGAAAAATCTAGTTTTAGTTTCAAAAGGTCACAGACATTTTATAAGACTTTTTATTATTTTATTTATTACTGGTTGGTTGGTGTTAAAATCAACGGAAGAAGATTAATTTGACTGTAATCTGAACCCAGTTTTTGTCCTTTTATAAATATGTTCAGTTTATTAAATAACAACAGCACTTCTGCTCTCTTACTGCAATTGTTCTGTTTGATTTTTATGTGCAAATTGGGTTTTCTGTTAGAAATAACATCTAAGAGTGAGTGGTAGCCCTCACATTGAGTCAAAAGAGAAAATCTGATCAAAGTGTTAGAGCACGGTATCTGATCACTTCCAACGCAGGGACAGAAAGCTAGAATAATGCGCTCTTCAGTCTCTCCTTTCAAAGGAAATGAAATTTAGCCTGTGGATGTATTTACTATCACACATCTCGATCTCCGCACGCATACAGCTGCTAACAATTCTGCAGCAGCAGCCTTCGAGCTGTTATTGCACTTCCTTTGGAGAAACCAAGCAGATAAGGCATCTCGATCTCCGTGTTTACCTTCGGGGCTGTCTGCTCTTTGTTTCTGTGTTCATTTCCTCCATCTAACCACCTTTGACAAGATGGGAGACGGTGTGATGCCTTGATCTGTGGAGCCGTCACATCCACCACCACCCCACCCCCCCACCCCCCGGAGGCTCGATTCGACCACCAGCCAACAATTGGCTGCCTACTCTAATGTTATTTTAGGATGAAACTACACGCTGAGGCAATTTACACTTAAAGTTAGTCAGATTTCTTTTGATTGTCTGAATATGCCTCCGTGAGAATGAACAATTGTGTGAAGTGATATTCAAGAAAAGGGCTTTGTTGCACCGTGATTCTCAGTAGAGTTTTTGTAATACCATTATGGCGGCTTTTTGCATTTCAGGGTTGAAACGGAGAAGAAATGCCACAAATTGTGCTCATTTGGGGATAACTTCAGTTTATTCTTCCATATTTTTTCATAATGGAATTTCTTTTAATTCCTCGTTTTGTTGCATCTCTGATCAGTGATCTGCCCTTCTGGATTTGAGAGAGTTTAGCTGTTGAAAGAGCTCATTTTAATTTTATCTTTTTTGCACAAACAAGAGTTTAAATAAGAGTTTGGAGAAAAACACAAACAAATTAAAAGAGAGAAGATGACAGATGAATGGGTGGTACATTTCTATTTAATCAATCTAAACTCAAACAGGGAGACAAAATGTGACATATTTAATTAAATTTTTGTTGATTCAAGTATAAAAGATTTGTTTAAAAATGAAAAACTAATCTGAATATTGAATCGTTTCCCATTACCTTCCTGCCTTGTGGGCATAATTGCAGTTTTTGGCTGCCTCTGTGTATCACACAAGAATAATTCAGCTAAAATGAACCTGCGTTACCCTGGAGGAGACTTTTACTTTCCTGTTTAATTTGATAAATGTAAATGCTGCAAAGGGGCTGCATGGGGACACAGTTGGTAGAACTGTTCTCTTGCAAAGAAAAGGTTGCCTGTTCAAATCCCAGCTGCAGCCTTTCTGCTTGGAGTTAGCATGGTCTCTCCATGCATGAGTAGGTTTTACGACCCTATGGAATAAAGGGAGATTAGGCAGTTTCGGGTTGCTTTTAGCACTTCCTTGTGTCCGTTTACCGAAACCAAAATCTATCTCCTTGCTGTGCAGACCTGAGCTTTACTGGTCACATTAAATCTATAACTAGATCATCTCCATCAATTAGCAAGACTCAGACGTCTCATGCCCAAACAAGACCTAGAGAAACTAATGGGCCATTCCCATCTGTACCGGGTCGGCCCGGGCCGGGTAGCGTAGGTTGAGGTTGTTTACATATCTGGGTGGCCTGGTATTTTTCCGGGCCAACCAAGGCTCATTCTCAGCCCTCTTCTCGAGGGGGTCTGCTTCAGGCCGACCAGGGCCAACACACCCACTGCTGAAGGCAAATTCACACCTTCCATTAGAGCAAGCCTCTGATTGGTGGATAGAATCAGCCCACATGGGCTTAAGGCAAGGATGTGTGGAATCAACCGGGCCAGGCTGGGGCCGACTGAGGCTACCCGGCCCGGGCCGACCCGGTACAGATGGGAATGGCCCATAATTCATCTACAGCTGGCTGGACTATTGCAACGATCTTCTAACTGGTCTTCCCAAAAAAGCTGTAAAACAATTGCAGCTTATTCAGAATGCTGCTGCTAGAGTCTTAACAAGAACCCAAAGAACCAAGCACATCACCCATGTTCTTTAATCCCTAGTGTTTGTAAATGAGAATAGGTTCTCAAACATTTTACCGGGTGAAATATAGATGAAAAAAAAAACTACAGAATCAACTTCAAAGTGCTTCTATAGTTTATAAATCTCTCAGTGGCATTGGGCCAAAGTACATGTCGGGTCTCCTTCCAGTGTTTTACACTCAACAGGGCACTCAGATCCTTGGAAATAGGTCAGCTGGTAGAACCCCGGGTTGAAACCAAACAGGGTGAAGCTGCTTTTAGTCACTATGATGCACAGAGATGGATTCAGCTTCCTCATGACCTAAAATGTGCCCCAACTCTAGTGACTTTTAAATCCGAATTAAAAACCTTCATGTTTTCATCAGTCTTTGAATGAATGTGTCTTATGCTAGACCTTCTGCGCCGTAACTACCAACCTTTTGACTATGCCTTTTATCTGTTTGTTAAATCTGAAATTAATATCTACATTTCATTGTTTGATTTACTGTGTTTGCTGTTCTTGCTTCTGTAAAGGACTTTGAATTGCCTTTGTGTTTGAAATGTGCTATACAAATAAAGATGCTGTAGTACCACTACACTAGTAAAGGGATACAGACTGGTTGAGGCAGTCAATATGGACAGTAAGTTCCGGTCAGAGAACCAGGCGAACTAGAAGTATTCTCAGTGAATTTACTGGCGTTGACATTAAACAGCAGGCTCATGTTTGTACATGTGTGGTTTCTAGGACGAAACAAAGTGACTTCCGTAAGTTAAATAATCCAACAAAGACATAGCCAACACTCACTGCTAACTAAACAAATTATAAACTGACACTCGTCTAACTGAAGGTACATTACCAACTTAGCATGGATCTCATAGGGCTAGCTTTAGTATTAGCAACTAACGGCAGTCATTTAAACACTATTAAACATGCTAACAAATAACAAATGCGGCTGACGGACTACCAAACATGAAAACAAACTAGTGAACATAAATATAATATAAATATTTGCCTTTAGTACTTACTTTTAAATCCGTCACGCACAACATATACAACGTTAAACCGGAAGTATGTCTGTCATAAATTAAAGGCATGGTCTGGAAGCACGGAAAAGACATCAGTTCTGTCCGGCGGAATATTAGTTTTGCTTTGGTCTTTCGGACAGATGCCTTGCCTTGATCTGAAAGATGAAATATCGCCCCAGCCTTCACTGGTGTCTACAGAATGGATTCATCACTAGATTAATAAATCAGCTGTGTTCACAATCTAAAACATGCAGGAAACATGCTGGAACCAGACAGCTATGCCTGGTATGTCAGCTCCAACTCTGAAGTTGCAAGTGGAATATTCTAGCCATGGGGGGCGGGGGAAGCTGGGTGGCCCCCTTTCATTAACCCTGAAAAAAGTCGTTTTAGCACATACTGGCTCAAGAAAATGATTTAAAACATGAAGAAGTATCCCAAAGATAATGAGTGAGGGTGTAAATGCGCCAAAGTCTCAAAAAATGTCTAATAATTCAGTAGAATGTCTTATCGCTCTTTTATTATTAAAACTGTACATTACAATAAAAGTCAGATTGATTGACTGATTTACCAGTATGTAATACACAGTTTATTTCCTGAAATTGTGCATAATGGTTTGTTTTCTCTTCAGTAGTTTGAATTGCTGAATGTGTACTCAGCTCTGAGGTGAAAATGGCTCTAAGGATTCCATCAAACCAAAAAAATCATTCTCAGTCACATTTTTGACAGAGAAAAACAATGTTGTGCATATTTTAAATATTCTGCTTTGATGTTCAAGGAAGCTTGAAAATACTGGTTTAAATGTTTAAAAATAATAAGTCTGCATTGCTGGTGCAAACTTTTTTACTCCTTTCAACCACAAGAGGTCCTTAGAGAGCCATCAAACACCCTGTCTCCATTACTTTTGATTCAGAGTGTTTGTTGGGTCTGACTGATGCATGTATCTCTGAACCAACATGTCTCTACCATTACTTTATTCTTGCATATTTGTAGACACTACACAGATTTATGGTATAGTCTTTGATATTTAAGTTAAAAATACATCATGTCTTGCCCATCCTAAAATGTGTGCAGATTCAGCTAACTCTTATCTAGAACCACATTTAGCTGAGGTGGACCCTCTTTCCTTCTCATACATCTTAGATTTCAGTCTTTCTCCGCCCCCCGAGAATTTTTCATTTGCAGAGCTCAAGAAGTCTGCTGCCTCCAGAGGATTTTCATCTCTTTGACAAGTCTACCATCTTCTGGTGCTAGTTGTCCTGCACTGCTGTCTCATCTTCCCATTGGAAGATGAGCTTGTTCACTTCAGCAGCTTCAGCTGATCTCTTCTGAACTTTTGAATTTACATTTGGGATCTCTCTCTCTCTCATCCATACACCTGGCGGCTATCCTGAAGACCTCCACTTGCCATTTCGTTTAACTTAAACTGTCTGTTTGCTTATTTTTGTAGCATGTAACATTATAACTGTTATAGTCTTTGATCATCTGCTGGATAAAAACACTCTTTATTCACCAGAAAGGCATCAGCCTCCAAAGTCCCTTTTCCTCATGAATTAGGACTTTTAATGTGAGGGAACTGCATTCTACCAATATGCAGGAGTGTGTGTGTGTGTGTGTGTGGGGGGGGGGGGGGTCATTTGCTTCAATGGATGTTGCAGTATTTGAACACTAGATGGGGCTGCAGAACAAATGGTTGGCTTTGAGGTGCCAGTAGAAATTCTTCTAATGCAACGTTCAGATGTTTTCTTGGAAATCGTCCATTTGCATGGAACTCATGTTGTGTCTCAGTATGTGAGACATAATAGGACATGGGTCACGTGCCATTTCTGTCTGGTCATTTTGACTCTTAAAAGCTGAACAACCTAACCTGTTCATGCTGCTGATAACATATTTAGAAGGTGATCAGATTAAAATGAACATTAATATAGTTTTTTTTTGGACATT